AAAAAGTTGTCGTGTAGCCTGTTCAGATTTCCTTTGAGATCGTCTGAAAGCGATGCTACGATTTGTATTATTCTCTTAAGGTTGCTATTGGAACAAATTCGTGTTTCATGTATTACGCCTCGAGGAGAAAACGCTCGATCCACATTGTTATTTCGAGAGAGTTTCGAAGCGACGTTACTCGAACTTACTGTTTATTCCGGTCGAAGTAAGAAAAAAGGACTTATCTAGCATAACGAAGAGGAAAAGTTTGCTTGGAGTCGCAAGTTTAAGGCCAAAGTTAAGAACCAAAGTTTCGAACGTGTATCGTAGAGTCCCCTTAGTTTAAAACTCGAGCAGTAGAGTTAAAAGCAAACGAATCTAATTATAACAGTGTGCGGAAAACCTTACGATGAATTGTACGGAAGAATTGAATGCCTGTAATTCTGCTTGAATCGATTTTGGTATATTAATTAAACAATTATGCGAACGTGATACCGTTGGTGAATGAAAAAAGAATCGTAAATTTAAGACTGCAGCTGAAGAAACAGTCCCTGCTGCTTTGGCTGCTGTTTCATACATCCTCAACATTAGCACTAGGCGGATCGAACGAGATAGTACCGTATCCAAAACAAATACTCTATGTATTCTCGGTTGAATACAAATTCCATCAGCTTTGCGTGTTTCTACACTGGAGAACTTCGCGAAAGCAATTTTTAAAGTCTCGTGAACTCACTCCAGCATGTTTCGCGGGCATCTAAACTTACTTTCTTTATAGTATCGACTGATAGAAATTTATGCAACTCGACAAACTATCTAAATTTAGTTCAATTTAAAATCAGAAATAGATACGATTTGGGATAGAATTTTCTAAGCAAAGGAACGAATAATTGTAGACCTTTGTTCTTAGATAATATAAATATATTCTGTAATTGATGTTTACTGAAATGTAAAATAAGTAAATTCATTACTGATAGAAAATGGAAAATTTTTCGATACCATTGGCAGTTGTTAAATAATTATTGATAACGAGATTTGTTAAATTAGAATTGTCAATTGGTACTTACTTCGCTATGGAAGTTTATTGAGAACTCTGATTCGGAACTGTAAGGTATTGGGATAATTGAATTAAGGAGTTAAGGTGGTGGATCTGTGAGCCAAAGCTTATCTCGGAATTTCAAACTCAATTTTAAATTAGTTTGTCAATCAACAGTTACAAAATTCATTCTTCCAGCGTGTACAGATCATAAATAGGCGAAATTCTTATGCACATACATGCTGAATATTATTATCGATGGATGTCAATTTTAAAAAATTTTTCTTGTCTCCGATTCAGAGTACACGTGCAATCATTAAATTGGATTCAGATTTTCACTTTGGAAGTGATTTCAGTTTGACGGTAAATTCCAATACTGCGTTTCCAATTACGTGTAAAATATTTACAACATATATGAACACATTAGTTGTCAAGACTTCAGCCTTCTTGATTGATTTTGTGATTGAAATTATGTTGGCAATCGAAACACGATTGAAGATCGAAGGCCTAAAGTTCTCCGTAGAATTAGTAAGTTTTTCTGTTTAATTATCATGGATCCGGGGAGAAAATGAACGATCGTGCCAGAATATCGATATTAGAGTTTTAGAAGCAATGTCGTTTGCTTAATTATTCCCGCCATTAATTGTTCCACGCCGTCGCACTTTCCTCCTACGATTTTTTTCCCCCTTTTCCGACGAGACGACAAATAGCTTGTTCGCCGTTTCCGAGAGACGGTAAAGACAAAGTGGAGTTGCGAGAAATTTTACTAAACATTCTCGAACGGTTGTTTCATCGCCGGTAATCGAGGGTGAACGTTAGCGGCGCCTCAATTTATAGGAAAGCTTTTAACCCCTTGGACGATTGTAAAATCGAGTCAGGTGAATTATTACCCGTTTGCAGTACAGTCCATTTATCACCGCCATCTGTTTGTTATAAAAATATCGTATTGCAAGGGCGTAACATTTTTAGGTGTTTTCAGACACTCGGTGTGTGTGCTCGAAAAAAAATCGGAAACGGTCGATGAGAGTTATTTCTGAGACTTCAAAATGGAACAGCCCGATAAGCCTTTCCTTGATTTGAGTGCACATCGTAAATATCGCTCACTCCAGGCTACCAAAGCAATTTACGCAAAAACAAAATACGATTTCGTAGTTTAATGTCTTAGGGGATGAAATTCCTGTTCCATTCTTTCTGTTTATCGACACAATCCGCGAGTAATTAATTGCTGTGGCTAAACGTAAGGCTCGTGACGAAGAAAATAAATAAATTAAAAACACCGTGTCTAAAAATGTGGTTTCAAGAGTATTATTTTGTCCCAGTGGCAGTTATCTATTAAATTAATTTTGCCTCAAGATGGAAGAGGCCGCTAACATAATTAACTGAAATCAACGCTTTCCAGATACTCGATATTAAGATTTTGCTTCGAACTTTCAACGAAGTCTTGAAGAGAAAACGAAAAGCAAAGATCGTTTCACTATACTTCAATATTATTTTAATTATTTAATTTAAAATTTCGTAGAATTTGAATTACTGATAATTGTCGATTTATCGAGATTTCACAGAGATAAAAACATTTTCCAATCGAAAGTAGATTAATGTTTAATTGAAATAATATCGTATTAGTAACTTCTACGAACAACATGCGTTACCGTTAGTTAAAAATTGCCGCGCCGGCGTTCCTGACGAGCGATTAGAAGCACCGGCCTCTATGTTTATTTATAAAGTATTAACTTGGCAGCATGCGATCCTAAGAGCCACCCGTTATGATAGCATTTATCTCGCGACCAACGCGCCGATTCAAGAGGAACGTTAAATCGGTTTCAGGCTTGGCAGAATTTTCAGTGGCGATCTTAATAAACGGTTATGCCCGCCACGCGGGCTATATACATTTGTTTTTATCGTCGAATTTATTTACAAGCCGCCAGAATCTGTAGTTTTTCTTTCTTTTTTTACAACCGACTCTCCTTGAGACTTTTCGCGAATCCACGCTCGCCCCGAGTGGACATTCAAAGAACCACGCGAATAAATAATTCCGCGAGTCTTGTGATGTCTTCCTCGCTTTATTGCGGTAAACAAATACGGAAATTCGCGTTGTACAACATCGAGAAATACTTTCTACCCGATTCTGTCGACTAACGTTCATAACGTCGAACGTTGATTGTTATCCGAACTGTCCGTCACGATTCCCTGCTGGGTCTTACAATGAACTATTCTTCAACCTTATCTATCGATAGTGAGTTCCAAGAACGAGAGTAGGTCGGGATTGACCGTATATCATCAATTTCTACCAAGAAGGGTGGAAGATATTTTCGAAATATTTGCAGCGAAAGAGTTTAGCTACTTCGTACCATTCAACTTGCCAATTTCAATCCTCAGTGTTTGGTTATTAATTTATCGAAGAGAGGCAGAGTAAAAAAAATAATCTACTCTAATATAATGTTAGACTATTTGACTTTAATCAGACATATCCAAATTTCATTTTTCAAACTTGAATTTATTAGGACACGACTGGGCCAAGTCTATAAATTAAAAGCTGTTGACGTTAAGCGAAATTCAACCATCGCCGCTAGAAAGGAAAGCAAACCGACGGAAAGTGTTTTTCAACAAACCGTTTAAACGCGTCTTAGGGTACAAAAATAACTTTTATGCACGCACGATTTTAATTATTTATTTCAAGGATCTTATTTCTGGATTCCAAGAAAAAGATCGCGGGTCCGTTTCAAATCAAATGCTGATCATGTTGCACGCGTCCATGAAATTATTCCCAGAAGGTAGACTCTTTCGGAGTGATCATCAGCAAAGTGAGTACTCTCAAATCACGGAACAAACTTTACCTTTCTACCGAAGCCATATTTTTAGAACAAGGTTAAATATCATCTCTAAAGCAGAAGGCAAATTAAGTGATGAACAGCGTTTTGTTAATATGAAATTTGAACAATATTAATGAATTGAAACGTCCATAAAAATGATGGATTTATTATAAAAATTAATTATACAAATTGAGACGTTTATGAAGAAGAATTTGATCAGGTTATTGTTAAATCAAACGTTTATTTATCAAATAAAAGGACGAAAAGAGCATGCAGGAATTAACGATATTCCGAGTGACTTTACATAATTCATTTAGTAAATCCTGCAGTCTCTCGATAACGATTTACATGAGCTGTTCGAATATACATTTAACAGTAATTTTCAAATACATAATTGAGAAAACTGAATGCGTATAATTTAACATTTTCATTCAACAATAAATATTAAAATTGAATCAGTCAGAGAAGTCGATATTTAAACGAAAGTTACGAGAAGAAAATATTAGCGATTTGGCTAGTCTCGAAATTAAATTACGTTCCTTTGCTCTAAAGACGAGACAACCCTCGATGCATACTATGCAGGAAGCGAAACAGTTTCGTAGTCTTTAATCAGTAAAGTGTTCGCTTGTAATTCTGAGAATAATGGTAGGTACAATGCTCTATCTGCCACTTAAACCATCTTTTGTAACCACATTGTTCAATAATGAAATACGAGAACAAGGCTAAGTCGAGTCTACAAATCAACTGTTGTAATGTTTCCCTCGACGAAGAGTCCATTTTAATATCGAAATGAAATAGAGCTTTTATCTCGTTAGTTTAAATTACAAGGATCAAAAGGAGGAAACAGCCTTCAAGTGCTCTCATTAGCAAAGTGTTGACTTTCCAGGATAAAGATTCTATCATTTAAACTGCCTACTCTAACCTCGTTGTTTAGCAATGAATTTTCATAATAAGACCAAGTCTTCGTAATGAGATCAATTCGGAGTCACGCTCGATCGACGAACCCTAGAAAACCTGTTACAACTCCAGTGCTAATTTCAGTATCGAAATAACGTATTTAGCTCCGTTCAAAGCGTCCTGTTCCGATAACAAACTCGCAAATTGAAAGCTGTCCTACGTAAGCATTGAATCGTCCTAAGAAGCCTGTTTCAAAGTCTTGCGTCAGCAAAGCTACTCACCGGAGTCCTCGAAAGAGTCCCGATGAAAGCTTTCCAGCAGCCAGTTGCGAGTTCTCAGCCGGCTGCGGGATCGTCAGAGGATTTCCATGAGGTTCCAAGGGTCTAATATCTTTGACGGATGGCTGCTCAGAAAGCCTTCGAAGCAGTCGACCGTGAGTCCGATGTAAAGAACACTAAGTCCCCCGCGATGAAAGGCCACCGTGTGACACCTGTTTACGCGCGCTCAGACAGTCGTATAATATATCACCAGCACGGAGGAACGACGGGACAGGGGGCTTCCTGTGTCGTCTTGCCTCCGCTGAGACTTGTTTTTGCCAACTCTCCAAACTCGTAAAAGCTCGGTTTTCCGCGAAACGATCGACGACTCGCGGATCCTGACGCTCTATTGCCGGACCAGGCGTCGCCTCCGCGTTTTTCGGCGTCGGAAATCGAGCGAAAGAGACGTCGTCGCGCCGAGAAACCCTCTCGATTACAGGTTAGCCGCCGAATCTTTTGATTTCTCTTCGTTTCGAGTCTCCATTGATCTCGCAACTGCACGACGACCGTGTTAATTGGCCACTGATTTTCTACGGTTGATAAACAACTCCGACTGATTAGACCTGTTTGCTTTTTCGAGTCTCCTCGGCCTTTAATCCGACGATCGATCACACACGTTTTAGATGTCAATCTTCGCCGATTGATAATTCGCCCGGTTGTCTGGCGTTTGTTTATTTAGTTCCTCCGTAAGATTCGCGTTCCGCCTGGCTTTCACGAAAGACGCCTACAGTTATCCGGTTTGTCTTCGCGCGTTGCTCGAAGCCGCCTCGCTCGAGAGTCAACGGTGTTAATCAGATTCTTAACGTCATCCGGACGACACTCGAAAGACACTCGAGGTTAGCTGAACTCGTCAGTCTTGTCAGTACTGGCTCGAGTATAGGGAAATTAGTCCTGAAAAGAAATTCTCGTCGATTATTCGGTGCTTGATTCCTCGACCTTTCCGGGCTCAAAGGAATTCTCGAAGCGGTCGGGTGTTAGTTTCGCTTGAAATCCACAGGTATCCCGCGAAACGTACGCTCAATCAATTACAATCAATGAAAATCAGTGAAATCTCAGGTTCGATACATCATACTTCGAGTCCCTTTCGGAAGTAGACCAAGAGCTTATTAATTGGATCTCCAAATGCACATTTATCGGGTGACTCGACTGGTTCGAATCGTTTCCCCGGATAAAATCTCAGCGAATCGCGCGCCAGGTGCTTCCAGGGTCCTTCGACATCCTTCGTCGGAAGGATCCAAACACACACATGGGGATCTATTTCCGGCTGGTCTATGGGAACGTCCCGATCTGTCGCGATATTGTTAACGATCTCGCGCGAATAGCGTCAACACGTCCGACGCTGGGCGCCGTTTAAGCGCGACTGCCTTCCTCCGGTGCTCTATATCGTCTGATCTTACGCATGTCCGATTTCCGAGTCGCTCTACTCTGCCCCTCCACCTTTCAACCCCGAGTTTTGCCTCCTCGTCACTCCATCGTCTGTTCGCGGGTCGTTCCGCTCGCATCGCCGCCCCGCCAACTGTTGCTTTCCGTTGATGTTCGGGATGAAAAATAGCAACGGCGCGATAAAGCGACTGCCCTGATCGTCGCCGGGGGAAGATACGTCTAGGTGGTTCGAGGAAGGGTGATCCGGACGTTTCACATCCGAACAAAAAACCCTAAATCGTCGCAGAGTCGTGATGATTCGATTACATTAGAATTTCATTGAAATTTCATTCTCGATGAGGATCTGAAAGAATAAATCGTGCACATTTTCAGTGAAAAGATCTATCATCCACATACGTGGGAATCCATTAAGGGTGTCTTTTACTGTAAAACGCGTTTTTTTATGTTCCGTTTGGTACTGTATTTTATAAAGAAACTATGCAACTTCTTGCATCGCTATTGTTACTCTTTCAGTACTATTCACAAATTTTTACAATAAGAAATAGTCCAAATTAGTGATAGTACAGAGTTTCGTAAAAGTGTTCTAATGGCTTCCATGATTTCAGCTGTTCTGTTTGTCTAAATCAAAAAAATGAAAAAGATTCTTAATTAGGATACTAAAAGGGTAGAAAAAAATAGATAATTAAAAAAATGGCAACATTTGGAAGTTGAAATATTGACTTTTTTCTTGTTTTTGACTTCAGCAGGCTAAAAAAAAAAATAGAAAGATATACATAGCTCGATCAAGCAATACGTATATCTTCCTTAATTTTAGAAGTTCGGTGATATGCTTTTGTACATATATTTCTAAGACTATATCGTTTGAGAAAATGCAAAAAAAAATCGAATTTTTTGACAGTTCACAGTAAAAGACCCCCTTAAATGGGAGTTGCTCCGATCTTATGTGTACAAACAGGGGCGGAGTGGAAACACCGTGCATTATTAAGTGAAGTTCCTCGTTCTCTATAATTTACTGATTGATATCGATGACGGATAACGAGGCGATGTTTATCGACCGATTGAAGCGACAAGGAGGATAACGAAAGGATTCATTAGGGAAATTTACTTTGGACAGAGTCGATGGAGCTCTCGAAACATGAGAGCGCAGGATAGCACGTGGAAGTATTTGGTGATCTATGATAACGAGATTACCGAGCATTAACGATAACGCAGATAATGGACACGAGCTTTCCGATTGCTTTTTATCGAGCCTGTGGTTTCGTTTGAACGCGTGGACTCCATCGCGGACGAATTTGGGAATTAGTCCGATTGCTCGACGACCATCCACCTCCGTGCTTGCACCGCGAATAAAAATTCATTGACACGCTACTCGAATCCCGCCTGTTTGATCGTCTACTTAACGCGCTAAAAGCGGACGAAAGGAATTTGTTATTCCGTGCAATTTCTGCGCGTCTCGAGCGATTGCGACAACACCGTCTCGCACGTGACCATTTTAAAAATACGTGTACGTTAACTGGTCGAAATTCTATTGCACACGAAAGAAACTAGCTTAAAGGTAATGAAAACACTTCCATATTTGGCTCGCCAATGCGTTGTCTCATCAATATTCCAATTCGAAGATCGAAATCTACCCTTAAATGCTTCGAAACAAATAAAGAATTTTCTAAATATGATATTTAAAATATTTTGCAAGTTTGTTAAAATATGCAATATAGTTTCTTTACTTTCAATCTAGTAACAAAGAAGCAATTATTACTGCTTCCAACATTTTTAATCGTTAAATGGATTTCCTCTGAATAAAATTAATGTTTGTGTTTCATAGTTGTTTTTGTACCAAACATGAAAGAATCTGATGTCATACTTTCGTAAACAATTTTCTACGGCCGCTACATATCGGGAAATAATTACCCATTATCGCACGGTTTCATTATCGCGAAGAAAGAAGGTCACGGCGAGAGTCTTTATCGTTTAAAAATTTCATACGGTTTATTAAACCTATCATCACGTTCCCTCGTTGTTATTGTATACGTTGGTACGTTTCGTTGATTAATCGCCACTATTGAATTATATCAAAGCCGCGATAAACATTCGCGTAATCTAGTTACGTTACTACACGGTAAGTACCATCTTCCAGCCAGGGCAGCGTTATCATCAGCATCGATAATCACCGATCCGTACGGTGATAATCTTCATCCTGCGCATAACTGCGCAGTTCTCAACATTAATCGCTAATAAAACGATCGATTCCAAATCATTTTCGCTTTAACTCGTGACTCGTCGATCCTTTCGAGATAAACAACTTCCTAATTATCGTCGTAACTACCACTGGATTGCAAAGACGTTACGCAATTATCGGAAAGTCTGCAGGTATTATTTATTTATTATTACAGCGACAGAAAAATAGCCCTTTGATACAGAAAGTAGAAAATCAGACGTAACAAGCAAAATGAAACACGTATCTTACGATGAATTTTATTGGATCTTAACATAATCAATCGAATTACGTGTTGTCGAACACTGTTGTAAGATTAGGGATGAAGCAATTATTTAGATGATGTTGTCACGATCGTAAAATTGTATTTAATTCAAGGACTGGACTTTCGCTCTTTGAAATGAATTAAACATTACGCGACAACGTGTTCTTCAATGGGAGGCTATTGGATCTATGTGTCAGACAATAATAGCGTTTCAAAAGATATTCGATTGTTGCACACTTCATATCTTTTTCTTACTTTTCGGACTAGCGTTCTGCCGTTTCGATTTAAATATACTAAATTACGAAGAGCACAGGGAATGGGAATACGTAATGATAACTGTGCTATTGTGCAAAGATTGGAAGTTGTCAAGTATAGTTACGCGCTGAGAAAGAAATCTCCATCTTCGGGTTCTTAGTGATATTTTCCGAATGTTTTGCAACTTTCGATCTTTGCATAGGACATAGGATCCAGAAGAGAATATTTGGGATTGTTTAAGAACGAAAAACTGATAATACTTCCTATATTTTCAACATATTACAAAACACTTAAAAAAAGAAGAGGAAATAGCTATCTACAGCATTCCATTGGGAGAAGATCCAAGTTTCGGTGAGTCTTCCCTGTCAGCTTACTCAAATATAAACTGTTACCAAAACTTGAACTTTCTCCCCCGCTCAAAGCGCAAACTTTTTTGTTTCTACAGACCATCACGCATCTCCTACATACTACATTATCTTAACAACTTTGTCATGACTTTCCACGATGCTAAACTACTTTTGAACCGTTAACAAGGTAATTACCGCCTCTCCCCTACCGATTTTAATCTCCCTTTTTATAGTAATACGTTACTGGCAAGTAATCGTTGGATCCCTGACACGGAATTGCTGCGTAATATTCGTGTAAAAAAATAAACATCGACTATGGTACAAATTATTCGAAGCAACGTAATTTTTAGACCGTAGTTGCGATAGAAATTCGACACCTACATATCTCTAATCCCTGAACATAGCCTCAACAAATCCCACGGATTTTTTGTTTGAAAATCAACGGTGCAACGAATTTCTATGCGTGGGGGAATTATTACAATTAATCCTTTCGGTGCTGTGGGTGTTTATAAGCGCCCCTTTTATCAGTGAATTCAGCGCCTGAAACGCCTAAAGGTATTCCGGGCGTAACACTCGATAAACATGACTACGAGGCACATTGAAACCTTAGAACTATGAAGGTTCAAGCAACCGTTCCCATTTGCTGAAAATATCAAACTAAATGTTCAAAACTGATTAATTTTAAACGCCATAAACTATTTAGATTTACATGAGAAAAAATATTTTTTGTAATTCGAAGATGTCTTCTTACACCTCCATGAAAGGTTAACCTAAATTAATAATAGTTTTTGCAAACGTCAGATACTTTTTAGAGGTGGTACGCGAGAAAGCTCCCTTGAAAGAATTTGCGTCATCGGTTAATAGTAACAATAAAAGATTAGGTGGAACCTTCTAAGGTATCAATAAATGCGCGAAATCTGGAATTTCGTTGGGTCCCACGAGAATGCTAAATATGTCCTTCATAGTGAGGTGATGAATGGTCTCGTTAACTCTGCCTGCTACGTAACTCTGGATACCAGGAAGTATGTCTGGCTTAATAATGTCCAGCACCTTTGGCGTAAGTTCCTGAAAGACCTACGAATAAAGGGATTAAATCAATTTCGTTCCATCTACGATACCGTTTGTTTGAACAGATTCTTGCATCTGCGCTGCAGTTTCGCTAAAAGGGAACACTGAGACAGCTATTAACAGAACAATAACGATGGCTGCGTTCTCTGCTTTTGATAGGAATTTATATATTCGAAGAACGCGTAGAACCTCATTGTCGTTATTAAAATTGAATAATTCCAGACTGTGTTAGGTAGAAAATAAATTAAAATTTTGGAATGCTCGAAATTTAAATAAGGGGCTATTGTTTATAGTCTGGGTGGTAAACAGAGCGAGTTTTTTAATTATTGAATATTCTTTTTTAGTACCTTGCTCATTATTTGACTGAGTTCCTCGTCCTCCATGAAATTCTCCAATCGCATGTCTATGGACCTCAGCGAGAAGTCGAGATAGAAACTCTTCAGGTACATTCCCCTTGAGTAGCCAAGGACAGTGTTCACGTACAGGTTAAAATCGTATATGTCCGCTTTGAACGGGCCCGAACTGTTCAATTGGAGCATGTCGCCAATTTTTCCAGATATGTTGTAGATGCCCTCGGCGTACACGTGAGGAATGGTGACGTTCCCGGTGATCGTGGGCCCGATCAACGACAATTTCGCCTTGTTGGTCACGAAGGTCGACAAGTTGTGCACCACCAGGTTCTCGATCGTCAACGACACGCTGCGAACATCAATTCGAACGAGGTTCAACGTAAAATTGGAGAACGCGAGCTCAAAGTTTCGTCACTGATCGTCGCTTGGTACTATACTCGGCTAATTTGTTGAGAGAATTGCTCCTCGCAGAAGGCGAAGAGAAAAATACAACCGTTCGATCAGCCTCGTTCGTCGGAACATTCGAAACTTACTTTCCTATTTCCGGATTGTTAATGTCTATGTCGATCTCGTCAAGCTGGAGCGGCTCGAGAGGCGGAAGTCCAAGTTCCGGTATCCCGTAGCGCATCCGGCCGCGAAACTTCTCCAGGAATCTCCTCAGCTTAAATTCGAGGCCCTTGGATGCTGCGCTGTCGACTGTCCTTTCGTCGATTAGCACGCGAATTAAAAAACGAACGACGACGATTCGTTCTACTTACTAATGCCGGTGGTCACCCTGGTCGCGTTGATCAGCAGGCTCTTCGGCTTCTCCACCGCGCTGCTGACTGAAAAAGAAACGAGTAACAACCACGGTTCACTTCCTATTTTCCTCGGCGTTTCCTACGTCGAGTTCGTAATTGCCCCTAAGAAAGCGGTGCGGCGAACGGGTTGGTGATTGGCTAAGCCATTCGATCGGTATGGTTTTTTCTTTTCTTGACAGCGTTCATGCTAGTGAGTGCATTTGTACGAAACGAATCTTTGAACTCGAGTATCTATTCTACATGTTTTTTTTTTATAAGAAATCATCTGCTCTGCAATAAAGTTGTAACGAATACGCCTGAATCCGGGTTTGGAACATTCAAACGAGTTCTTAGAGTCGTTTCGCGTAAACGATTACTTGATAAATAATTTGAAAATTCTAGGACAATGTTTCCGCGAATAGTGAACCCTGTCGCGGAAACACAAGAAGCGCGTTAATAAGCGACCGCTGGGATATATGGTCGTGATATTAATCATGGCTCTGTGAACGGCGGTGTTGAGTTAAATGAGTCCCCGCCAGGCGGTGAAAAATTGTTCGAGATCCTGTGGCGCACTTTGATCAATCTTTTTTGTTTGCACGCGATGGCACTTCATTATTTTTTCGATAACAAGGATGGGCGAAATTTTCATTTATATCTGTTCTTTACGAAACGTTTCATTCAAGATATTAATTGTATTCAACGAGGATAGATGGCTGTTCGTTTTCGAAACTTTCGCTTGCATAAGAATTCCTGGCATTCCCGAGCTCTTTGATAGGAAATGTTTTAAAACAGCACGCGTCATTAATTCCCTTCCGCCTTGGGAACCGATGTGACATCGTGAACTAAGAAGACTCATCGTTCATGGACACTTTTCAGTCCAAGAACGATCAATTTCACCACCAGCCCACGGGGCTCAAGCTACCCGCGTTAGCGTGTATAGTTAGTGATCCGTCAGAAAATTGGCGTTAGCGTGTCGCGTGGTCGCTGAAAAAAAATAGCCAGTTAACGCGTTCCGATCGCCTGACTAATTGCGATCGCAGACAGTTCATTCCACAAAGCTGATTAAACGATCAGTTTTCGATTAGTAGCGTGGCTGCAAGCCTGGTAGACGTCTCGCGCAGAGCCTAGGTCTTCAAACATGATCTTTGGTAACAGTTTGAAGACCGTAGGTATCGAGACTTGGTTCGATCAAAGTATCACATACTGTAGTCCGAGGCAGTGTCCGTCACGCGGTGTAATAGTTCTTTCTGTCGTTGCATGAGTGCCGTCACTGCAACAGACGATTAAACGCACAGTTTCCTCTGGAACGGCGAACAGGCCCCCTCTGCGTCGAGGAACACGCATGGTTGGCCGGTTTGCGCGGGTAAATCGGTGCCTGTGTGAGTGACGATTCACATTCAGTGGGTTCTATAGATCTGTCAGGAAGTTGGACCTTCTGGTGGGTGGAGTTATTGCGAAACAGTAGTTCCGGTAACAATTATATCGAGGATCGATCGAGCAACGAGTGAGATTCAAAGGGTCACGCCGCGGACCGTGTCGTTTCTGCCCCAAAAACGTCCTCCGCGGGTGTTGTCGTGAATATACAAGGTGTTTAGAAACGATAAGACAAACCGAAACATGCATACACAAGTCCTTTACCGTTTTGCGACGAAGAACAATTGGAACTTAAATTTAAAAAATGTAAAACGCGCTTACGTAACGAGATGATCTTTTCGATACGATAAAAACACTTTCTCCTTACGTGTGTAATAAATATTCTATTATTTAACTAGTGTATTCTTCCGTCAAGCATGACGGATGGCTTAGGTTTGCATCGAGCCATTTTCTCAAATTCGACCTTTTTCAAAATTCTACGTAGTTATTTATTTTCTCGTAGCTGCAACAAAAATTTCATCTGAAAGTGCGTACGTACTTTTAATCCGATTTCACCCGGGGCGAAATGTTCATGGACAGCAGTGTATTTACGCAATTTTGTTTCAAGGTGTGCGAATTCCTGTCATTATGCTTTGTGGAAGAGGCAACAATGAGTGGAATCGAAACAACAAACTAGTCGTTGTTATCGTGTATTTTACTAACTTTTTTTTTACCAGCGTGAATCACTCATTCGAGAATTCGCCTCCGTAATTGGCAACGTGCTCGTTTAACTTTAATAGCGTTCATCCAGCTCGTCCGAAGGTAATTCAGTTTCTTAAAACCGCAACGAACTACTTTATAGAGTCATGACGCGACCCTGGATTCTCGCGGTCCTGTGTTTTCAAGTAGTTAATTTTCTACTCGAAACGTTCCTTTGATCATCTTCGTTGGAAACGCGGCAAAATAATTATCACTCCGACGGCGTATTGTCGCCATTCATATGAATTCACCGCGCGAAACTACACACACTGGGTCAAAAGAGTTTCCACACAGCTGACTAGAATTTCTTAGTACGTTACGATGATTTTATAAACATTTTCTTTCTGTTTAACGAGTCAAGATGTACTAATATGTACACAGGCGAATTATGCAGATAGAGATTTATCTTCCGATAATTCTAATAATGTTCGACTCTGATTTACATTGCTATGAAAATGATTGCGTGTTCGTAAATCTTGTACGAATATTAACGACGTGAGCGAATATGTATGATTAAGATTCCAATAAAAGAATATTTGATCCAGACCTTGGCCTCGTCGAAGCGAAAACTATCTGTTGGATTTCGCAATCTATTCTTACGGATCTACGACTCTCGCCTTCGTTAGCAAACGAACAATCATGCTAAATTAATGAATCTTTTGGGTTAAGTTACAAATCCTATTCGAGTGCAATTTCAGCCCCTCGTTGCATGAATTAGTCAAAGACAATTGGAGAATTCTAGCTGCAATCAGTTCCATTCATTTCTTCCACGTTCTCTATCGATGACTCACGATTACTCGTACTTGACTTAATCGAGTTCATTGAACTTCCTTTCGATGTATCGATCATACAAGAGTATAATTTTTATCCAGACTGAAACTTCTTCATTCGTGGAACAATCAAAAGAAACAAACCCGAGGAATTTAATTATCTAAACAACGTGTTTGGAATGACATTGTGAAACAATAATTCTATACCTCAGCAGCAGTTTTAATTATTATTTGTTGTGTCCTGTTTTGAAAGAAATATTACCTTTGTCCTCCTATCAATTAATCAAGATCTATTGTACAAGATAAGTGGAGTAGATCTTCTTCGGCTGTTCCCCTTCTTACCATGTTTTACCACTTTCATTCATCAATCAGACAAGAGTAATTGGACTACCCCATTAGTGTCACAAATTCGCCCCATTTGTTTCCCTCTAATTACTCGCTATTACCACTATATCTGGTCATGTTTGCAACAATTAATGAAACACGATTGTTGCTATTTCCATATTTAACGATGCATCAAGGCCTACATTACTCATTATGCAATGGTTAAATATTAAAATTGGATAAGTCGCTATAAGTCGATGCAAGAATGAAGATTTCCGGGCCTTAAGGCAGATTACTATAAAAACGAAAAACGAGTCATGAAGTAATTGATGCTGAAACTTTGACCGCGTTTCTTTTTAAATCGAACATTACCCAGAAACTATATATTAGACTGGCTTTAAACAATTTCAATATCCTCGACTTCTCTTCGCCTCGAATTTTTGGATTCAATTCCCGCAGTCCAATCTTGTCTCAATCGAACAAACAAACCAACAACGCGAGGACACAGGAGATGAAAAAGACTCACGGAAATTGGTCGCACTGGTCGCCACGTTCCCTATGCCCCCCAGGATGGATGGCAAGGGTTCTTCGGGCTGCGAGGTCGCCTGAAGGGTCGCGCAGACCACCAACAAAACGACACTTCCGGTCGCGTGGAACCGCATGTTGACTGCGAAGCAAGAGGAACAGAAACTGCAAAGAATCACGTTTAAACGGGGAGGATCGACTTGGTCAAAATGTCGATCGAATCGCGTACGAGTAGCCTGCCATTCGCACGAACCGTTCTCGAAGCAGCAGGAACACCGACTGGCAAGATGAAAGAGTTGCGTTTCACGAGTTGTTGAGTCGCTTGTATGTGCATATGTGTACGTGCGCGTCGGTGTATGGTCGCCTCGTGCACGTGCACGACGAACGACGAAAGTGAACGCTACAACCTGGCCAAGGAATGGTGCCCAGCGCGATCCTGATCGATCGTCGCACACAGTGGTGCCTTTTTAAAAAGTATACACATAATGAAACATTTATTCACATATATTTAACTGGACCTATGGATCATGATTTGGCAAATTTTTTTTACGATTTGTTAATTTTGGAAACGACCACGCGGTTCTGAAGTGGTCAATCTGAAAATCGTCCGAAACTAAATTCGTCGTCTATAACTGTATGTGAAATAAATTTTACCTAGTATGTACTTGAATTGTACCAAATTACATTTTTATATCTACGATAGTTTTAGAGTTATAATAGAACGTTTTGAATTTCCATTTCATTTTTTAGTAACGATTGAAGCGAGCTGAAGGTTTCGTTTTAGTCTCATTTTTAAGACCGATGTCTTGCCTTTATTCCTAAAAAAAAATTAGCTGCTACTGCGAAAATTACAGCAATAAACGTTTGTTCTGGAATGCACGAATGTAAACTGATCCATATCAAATGACGCTTGTACCCTCCAGTTATTTGCAATTTTTTAATTGTGTGGTTGTTTAAGACCACATTGCGAGTTCTGCGACGAAATAATCGGACAGGATGGTATCAAACACTCCTTAACACTACCTAATTTAATGCATTTACAAAAAAAACTAGTGAATTTAATACGCTTGGCTGATAAACTAAGGTGCTGGTGTTAGAACGCGTATGATCTGTAGTTTGTAGCAATCGTTATGGTCGACCGATCTTCTTTCGGTCTGCGTCAGGATATTTTAAATGTGGTTAATAGTGCGCCTTCCCACTTCCAATGAAAGTTTCAGCAAGTTTCAAAAAATGACTAGAGTTGACCTTGGGACAGAGTTGGTACGATTGGTTGGTACAGTCGACCGGTGGTGAGCGCCGCAACGGATCGTAGATCGTGACCACGATACACTTGACGGCGAACGACAAGAATAACGGACGATAAAAATCGTAACAGTGGATCTGCTTCCGGTCACGAAGCTGGTGCAACAGTCGACTCGATTCCGCGCCGTTATGTAAAGAACCTGGACTGGTCTGTCGAAAATTGAACCGTCGAGAACTAAATTTAGGTTGAATTTGGATTTGGGACGACAACGTCCTTCTTTAGGTGGCTCAATACTTTCGAATAATAAAATAGATATTTGCAGATTCTTAACGAACAAAGTTACTTTCGATTTGTTGTCATACGAAAATGATACGAAGGCGTGTAAAAAATTAATTTGGCGAATAATGATTAATTACGAACGTTTTGTAAGACCGCGAAATGAATTCGGCGAAACCACGTGACTACGACAGGACCGTATTAGCAACAGGTTATACGTACCCTGAATATGTTGAAATTAAAGATGTCATTTATATGTATAAATAACCACGAATTATTTTATAATTTGTCTATGTTGGTAATGCTATGCTCGAGATTCTTTTCTGCTAAAAGATCGATACACTTATTTCACTTTTTTGAGGTTGTTTATTTCACTGTTCTTCAGAATAAATTTTCGGCACCGTCAAGCACGAAAGTCGTGTTTACACGAGGTCACATAATTTTTAATTTACTTAATCGACGTTAGTGTTAGGTTACTACAACATTTCGATACCTTTTGATACATCCCTGGTTACAGCGTGGTGTCAACATATTGAACCAATGAAATTTTGGTCACGAGTCAAGCTTTGTTTAGATCCAACTTCACCTTGCTATGGAACGTCCTATGGTCGCGATCGTTGCACGCGTTCGCAGTCGGCAGAATAAGTTAGTTGTACGGTGGCATCTGTTGCGGGCTCTCGAAGATCTGGTGGTTAAAACAAGAATATTTGAAATGCACTTTCACGCTGTGAACTGTATTTCTGTGATCGATTGTGTTTTCATTTCATCGAAAGAAAGGTTAGTGGCAATATCAGTTGCGTGGTAGAATCAAATGTATTGTTAGTCGAGATCAAAGTTTGACATGTTGCATATTTTATACTTGAAATATTATAACAACGAAAAGAAATTAACGTCCGATTCGACACCGAAAAAGTAAAGAATGATCTAACTATCAACATTGTCGATCAACATTATATCAATCGATTATCCGTGTCATGAAAGTTTACTAAAAACAAGGTAAAGAATGAAAAGTTATTCAACTCTTACAGAACAATTATATCAATTATTTATGACAATCTACAATTAGGATATAGAATATTTAATAAGTTTAAAAAAGTCATGTACGTACGAAGGTTATAGAATTAAAACTATATAAAAATGATAGGTTAGATTTAACTAAAATGATTCTTCATTCCGATACGTTCTTACGAAATACATTTTCCGTATTAGGGAGAAAATAAAGTTAATTCATATTCGGGTATGATTACAAAATAAATAGAAGATATAACTATCGTTTATGAAAAGTATTTTAGGCTATTTTTTCGTCGCGCGAAATATTGCTAAGGGCAAGTTCTGTGCAAAACGACTACATCGATCTTACATAATTTGTCTTCGAGATGGCGTGCGTTGTCTTCGTTCCCCATTTGCATTGTTAAGTAGGTATCTAGGTAGACGGTCACGTGCCCTGGTGACGAACTGTTATTTCGCGCGATCCGGTGATTTATCGCGACTTAAATCAATGAACAAACAAGCGCAAAGGAAAATAATTAATTAGTTTCGTATCGTTTCGTCCATCTCTTAGTGCCTTAGATCGTATGGAACAATGGAACAACAGTGCAGTTGACTTTTTCCCGCATCCCTTCAAGATTCACATTCTCAGGATCGAACGTCGATGTACAAACAATGGCGGATCCGAGGCGTCTTGGCAAAGGACCACAATTTCATGAAGTGACTGTTCCTCACAATTCGGCGCATGTTGCTTCAAAAATGGTAATTAAATACATTTTTATCTTTATTAAGTTGATTATTGAACGTGTACGTATTTAAGAAGCCATATTCATAGTATAATTTTACTTTTACTGTACATGCGGATCGAAATAGTTAACTTTCACGGATCGTGTTTAGAATTTGAAACGTTTCTTTGTTTATAAAACTGGGCTATTGATATAATGCCTATACATGTCTATATTGCAAACACATTATTTTTTAATGTTTATGCAAAGAATGATTATTTTACTTTCGGCGGAAAATAACAGAACTCGAAAAAAAATAATCTTGGAGGACCCTTTTCGAAATACTGTATTTTCACGCGAGATCAGTAATATGATGTAAAATATTTTAATATATTAATCGTACTAATTTAAATTTATTTTACTCGATGCCTATGTTTGTATTGCATTCCTGGTTCTCAAATCGCCTGATCGAAACGTAGTATTCAATATAAGTTATAATCGTACATTTTCTTTCTTTTTTTTCTTTTTCTACATATTTTTACAGAATATCATTCTTCGTTGCTAACATTTATTATGTCTTCCTAGATTTAAGTGTCTCGAGAAATCAGAAATTATAACTGTGTTTCTATTGCTTGTTAACGATTATTTTACTGACTTACGAGTTCCGCCCGTACTGAATTTTTTTCTCCAAAATGCGCAAGATTTCGGGGGTATGTCCATTCACCAAAAATGATTGTAATTGACGCCTGCAATCGAAAATAATTTTTCCAGAATGATTTGATAGCTTTTTTTTTCGTCGAAAAATTTAGGTACCTAATTAGATTTTCGGTAAGGAATTTTTTACTCGAAAGTGCGTAGGATTTCGAGGATATGTGTAATGATAAAAAATGATTGTAATTAACCCTCGCAACCGAAAATAATTTTTCCAAAACGATTTAAAATTTTTTTTTCCGTCGAAAAATTTCACACCTTCTCGAATTTTTTTCTAGAAAGTGGGTAGGATTTCGGGGGTATGTCTATTCACCAAAAATAATTGTAATTGACCCCCACAACCGAAAATAATTTTTCCAGAACGATTTCAAATTTTTGAATTTAATTGTTAATAACTTTTTAACGAAGCCTCCATCAACAAATTGGTATTCTTGATTTTCGCTTTGTTGTAGCCTCTAGAATCCCCCATTAAAATTTTTTCCGAGGAATGTTCAATGATTCATCTTGATATTAAAGTTTGTGATATAGTTAATCGAAATATGATGAATAAAGGTTTGCCACTATCTCGTGAACTTCAAACGGCACGTTTTGGTTATCCGAACCAAAACTGATATCAACGTTAGTAATTTCTCTCAGAAAAATGACTTGACGCGAAGAACCTTGTTATAGTGAAGCTGCGGGAGCAACTTTATTTACAAACGATGTTCGCTCGTTTCGATGTTTTTAGCGATTACGAAATACTTATTTGTCGCTTGCATAAAGAAAATTAACGCGAAACTAGTTTTTCCTTCCGTGTGTCTCTAAATTCAACATGGAATTCATTAGACATTGCGTCATAGAAATGTCGTAACGTGAAAGCCACCTTATTTGTCACTATTCGTCTGTGCGACTCTCGCGACTGCGGGCATAAAGGGTTTCTGGTTCGAATAAATTAATTGTTTCGCAATAGTTCGATACAATTTCGACGTATCGTCTATTATCGCGTGGATACTGCATCTGCATTTCCAATCAGAGTAGGGGTGAATTTTATTTCGGAACAACGAATACAAATTTACGTATCCTTCTGGTCAATTTAATATTCGCGTGGTAAAAAACTGCTACAAAGTTAGAACGACTATAAATACGAATGTTTACTGCAATTGAAATTAGTTTACAGAACGAAGATTCGGAGAATCTTACGCTTTGGCGAAGAGGAAATATCGTCGAATTCATGAATCGGTGATTAAGCCGCTTTGCATTCTCTCCGCGTGATTTTTTCAGAGAAGTTTGCTTTAATAACACTTTGTCACCTAAGTACGTGACATCGAATCACCTAACTCCGGTAGTGCATTAGCACTCGGGATTAAAGCGTCATGATTTCTTTAATTTAATTTTGCCGGCGAGTAACCGTGAATCCAACTTGTATGTAATCCCATAAGTGCTCTATGGGCTTTGCATCTGGAGATTGGATTAGTCGTTCCAGTACACTGATTTTCACCCTGAATAATTATTCCCTTCGTCTTGACCGAATATTTCGGACTATTATCGAGCCGAAATAATCGTCCTGCGAGAAACATCTAACAAATTATTTTAGATTCATTATTGCGTTAAATCGTTTTTCAAATTTTTGCCTTTTTTCACCGATTTTCGTTCATTTTAAATATATTTAAATTATTTGTTCGGTTTGATGTTAATGTTAGTAGGCGTCAATTTTTTTTTTTTCTTTAAATGGTACCGATTGCAAAACCAATTTTTTTATAATGGTTTTTAAAATGTTTAAAAAGATTGCTTGTTCCAGGTTTCTTGTCAAGAAAAATCATAATTTGGCCCAGAGTTTAAGCGGTTGACGAAGCGTAGATCGCGTCAGGGCAGAGCCACTCTGTCGAAAATATCGAACCGTAAACAACAATTCGCGATCGATCCTTGACACGCTTGCCCCTCAGCACGCGCTGAATAGCAATCAGTTCGTCGAAAGTTAAACACGTGGTCGTGGTGATTTCGTATACGTATCGCGGTCGATTATCGCGAAAGAAATTTAAGAAAAACATTACGTCTCATTGACGCGCGAAAATCGATCATCGATTACGCCGTGAATCACTCCACCGTTTAATGAAATGTGCATTCGTAAGTGTCCAATTGCAGTGGATCTGTCTGATTCATGTACCTAGACGCTGATAAATCTAGATCTCCTCGGTAAATCTACGTAGAAGGAAACGGATGTAACCTTCAACGTTTCCACTCGTTATGCTAAACGTCACAGATATATTAAGCCGTGTAGTGGTATTATTATTGAACCGATTACTGGTTTTCTTCCTATGCCTGTTAATATCGTGCGAAAAGAATTCATCATTAAAGAGTCACAGGGAAGTTATTACAGCGAAGTCGAGGAATAGGTTTCGTAGCATGTATATATTTCATTAAAAACCTAAATACCTAGGCACTGAGGTACAAAAAATCGTTAACAGTACTTGAAAAAATGGCGGACGCAGGGAGGACGAACTGCAGGCAACGAACTATAACAACAGAGTATGAAAATCTTCCTTTTGTTAGCAGTCCCCCTCCCCTTCGCCACCTTCGAGCATTTCTATCAAACAGTAATTTCACCCTGAAATTTGTAATTAAACTATACGCGTCGTGATTTTCCAACGCTATTGTTTATCGTGCTTAGTGGCTGTGCTATATTTTAAAGAAGACAAGGACGAGGACGAGGACAAGCTCCCAGTATTACCGCCAGTGTAGTCCTCGTGCTCCAAATACTGCTCATTTCTCACAGAATAGTGAATTATCCTGGAACAAAAAACGAAACCACCATTCCAACGAATGTTTCTATCGGTTTTGAAGTATTTAACGCGTTAAACGTCGAGCTGATGTTCGTTTAATATGGTTACGATCCATTAAAATGGTCCCCAAGGGCTAGCAAGCCATTTAACGCGTCAAAAGTTAGATTTCATCGTGGCTTTCACTCACAGAACGAAAAAGAACACTAAGATTTGAGTGGCGAACGTCAGCCAGTAGATCGAGCTGGGCATCGAGTTTATGGTCGCGTTGTAAAGCTGTGAATACAGTATACCGCTGAATAACGGCACGGCGTTGTCGCAAACAGACAACATTGCGAATACTTTTCCTGCAAATAAAGGCCCATTAAAATGATTGCGAATAATTCGAAACGAAATACGTTTTGCAATCTGCTCACCGCGTTCTTCCACGGAAACGAGTTTAGAGGTCATCGATCTCAGAACTGGCGCGACCACTGGACCCAACGCAGCAACAGCAGCGCCTGAAAGCGTCAACAATTTATTAAAATTGGAATTTATTCTCTGTAAACTTTATCACGAATAGTCCAAGCATAAATTTAATTACCAACGTAAAACAATTCTGGTATTTTCGTCATCGCGAATATTACTCTTCCGGCGGCGTGTGCAATCGCTCCGATCATCACGATTATGGTGTCCTTCATTCCCATCCATTTGCTCATCACTGGAACTCCGATTAGCATCGCTGAAAATGAAAGGATCTCGTGATTATCGGTGGAAATTGGCTGTGGCTTAGAGAGCCACGATCTGTGCGAGTGAAAGTAATAGAACAGAGATTTCTCTTTTTGCTCGGGATGCTTGGAAAATGGCGAACATTTGCCTAATCGGCGGTCGTGTCGAGTCGAGTTACAGTTTCATATAATGTGGCGCTTTACGATCCACTTCCGTCAGATGAGTTTCATATCCAAATTCCGTATAAAATACGCAGAGCGTCGAACTCTGACGAAATAACGACCGGAGAGAGCGTAGAATCGGTTTCTAAGTCGATTTTCAGCGCGACTGACCTATCACGAAGGTGGTCGATTGGAATGTTCGGAAATTGCTGAACTTGGTAACGTCCCATTTGAATTCCAGCTGGGTGTAGAGATAACTCATGGGCTTTTCGTCCCTTTGGAACGTATAGAGCATCATGATCAGCAAGAATAGCCACAGATGAAGCTTTCCATTATTCAGCCTTTTTTTCGTCAGCGTTTTCATAGTCTCGACCACGTGTTCCTTATCGAAGAAGTCCGTTAAAAAATTGCTGCCCGAAAGCGGGAGTTGTTGTGGCAATGTCTGCCACTTCAGTCTTATCAGCGAGTACAGAATGGCTAGAACCAGCAGGCTTGTGTTTATGATAAACATAATCGTGTACGATGATTTGGCCACGCTAGTGAAAAGGTATGATCCAAGAGCCACGCCTGGAACGGGAAATTAACGATTAATATTGACCGCGATGGAATTCTTCCTGTATGCAAAATAGAAAATATTGAATTCTAAACAATTATGTCTAAAGACACATCGAAAACTTATGTACCGGTCGGCATGGTGCTAAGGTACACGACGTCCAAAATGGTGATCCTCAAGGTTCTCTGCTGAACCGAGGACACGTCCGATATGTACGAGAAACAGCTGCCAAAAATGGCGACGTCGCCCCCCAACATTCCCATTGGAAGACTCGCTGTGTACACGATGGTGTTCAGATTCCACGTGTCCATCATGGAATTGATCACGATCATGAAAGAATAAATAAATTTGCCGATCAGTCCCAGGACGAGCAGCATCTTTCGTCCACGCCGATCGCTCCAGTTCCCAAAAAACAGAGCTAGTATTATAGGCACCACGTGGCCAGCTATATTGTTCCATTGATGAAAACTTGATACGGTCGTCTAAAATTTTCATGGACAAAGTAATCTTATATTTTTTTTTTCCACATTTTTATTCGTCGAGCTTATGATAACGCGCTACGAAAAATAAGCGTATTTATTTTCATAGTATTCTTCTTTTAATTTTAGTCGATCGTTTACGAAACACCCGAAGAATTGAAATATTTTTTCATTTTTATACGTACCCTCTGCGATATTAATTTTCGTGCATTCATTTCTCGTCGAAGTATATTACGGATTTCAAATTATAGTTAGGGTTGAAACATACCTGGACTTCGGCCTTTATGGTGTTATTGTCGTTCAGTTTCGCGCAAATCTCCTCGGAGTATCCGTGATCGACGCGGCAGGATTTGTAAACGAAAAGTGCTTGCTCGACAACCGAGGTCACCATGTACGCCATCATGTAAAGCCACATTGTGGGCTCCACGGATATATCTTCTATCCATCCGAAGTATTTCCTCCATACTTTGTGCTTAACCCTGCTTTCCGGCTTCGACATAAAAATTGTAGAAATTTATTTAATCCAGACAAAAATCTAAACTTCTTGTCTTTAATATTAATAAATTATTCGAAAGATCTGTTTCAATTTGCTGTCTAAAATGGTAAAAATTACATTGTCAAGTAAATTTGATACGTGAATTTTTTATTAAACGTAAATATCAAGTTTCACGAAATGCTTTCAAGTTCGTTTTTTTTTCAACGTGTTGTTCGATTTATAACGTTTGATGAGGCGAGAGTCGCGTGTAAATATTTACTGGTATATACGTATGTTGAAACTCTTGAATACTTGGAACTACCTTGCACTCGGTTCACCTTTCTTATCTAGTGATTATGAAAGCACTTGGCGGAAATGATAGAAAACGTAATTATCGTCTACTACATTCTTGTAAAATTCGCTTTAAGAAAATGGTATTTTTAGTCACGTAAAAATGATTAAATTTCGACTCGATTACTGTGAATTTTGGAACAGTTATCGCCCGATTGCGATCGATATTTTACTTGACGTCGATAAAAATTGCGTGTACCGGATGTGTTAATGGTGAAAAATATTTTACCTCGTTTTCCATGGTCCCTATTTATTTTGCACAGATAAAAATGAAGCGGGGGAATTTTATGCGATTTTTCTGTTTAAATTTCACGAGATCATCGTTATTGCATTACTGACGGATGGTTTTCACTACGTCGGTGCAATAGTTGCTTGTTCCGCGGAAAAATTGCAATAAGAATACTAAACGATCTTTCCCGTCCTGCAACAACGAGTGTTATTCATATTTCGTCAATCGCGATTCCCACACTTTTACGAGAAAACATATTACAAATATTTACAAAACAAAATAAATATTCTCGTTACTCGTTAAGAGCCTATCGGAACTTGTTTTTCTATTTAAATACTTGGGATCATAAAATGTAACGGTGAACGAACGTTATCTAATGATAAAGACTATCACCAAACAAAACGACATATTTAAAGGCTTGAATGTTAAAAATAATTATGTAAGTTTTAAAAATTTTAAGGAACTTCGAATCATTCTGATGCAATCTCACAAACGATCGATCGCGGTAACACACAACTACTGTTACCTATTTTCGAAAACACTTCCACCCTCGATTATTTATTTTATCCGACGAGCACAAGTGCAAATGGAACGATTAACTTAGAAATAATCGACGCGTTTCCTCGTTTCACAGACTGCAAGAATGTTTGTGCGAAAGATTAATGGAAATAGGTTACATGTTTTTTTTACTTCACCGATAGCGAAAGAAAATAGTCTCGGATTTTTCTCAGGTCACTGCTACTAACAGCCAGTTTAATGCCGCTGTACAGTGTCTATGATGTCCCACCTTTCATGTGTTATATCCATTGTCAGATGAGATTGACCGGATGCACGAAAGTAGTGTCATCGACGTAAGACGAGCGGTTCATTGACCTTGTTGTCGAAGCGTAGATTTAAGACGGATCAAAAATCGGCGCGTAATAATCTGCACACCAATGTTGTCCAGTCCACATTATCTGTAGACATACTGCAGTTTCGAGCACGTGTTCCCACATTGTCCCATGAACGTTCTGTGAGCGACGATACCGCTGCCATTTGCAGCGCCGTAGACGGACCGACCTGGAAACGAAATTAGGCTGAACGTAGGAGCAAGTGTATGGAGGGAAATTCAATTCTATTAGGAATTTTGTACTACAACTTAAGGCAATATTTTAAACATACAATGAAATTTGAGGAAAAACAGTAAGCTTCTTCTCGCTGGACCCTCCCCTTCCTTGGCAAGTTGTATCGTTGCTACAAAACTTCTCTGATTTTTTGATTAAAATGTAGTTCAACGTTTTTCATTAAAACGTTGACGTTTACAAATTGTTTGTCCACTGATAAGCCTGGAGATTGTTGTATTTTATTTCGTATAAGGTTCTGTGTTATTATATGGTAACAAAAATGTCTATTTCTTTCAAATTTCTATAAATGTTGATGTTGATGTATTTAAAATTCGGAAATCCCCTGAACTGGCAAATTTTGTTTGTTTCCTATTAAATTACAAATTCTATCCTCGTCCGTTTCAAAATATCGAACGAACTTATGTTTCTATGCTTCCTGTGCTTTTATGCATATTATTATTAAAGACAGCGTCTACGTTATATAGAGACCAAAATAAGACGAAAATCAACAACATCAATTTCTTGATTGAGGCTTCGTTAAAAAGTTATTAAAAAATTTAGTAAAAAATTTCATATCATTCACGGAAAATTATTTTCGTTTGCGAGGGTCAATTACAATCATTTTGGTTAATAGACATACCCCGAAATCCTACGCACTTTCGAGAAAAAAATTGATTGGGTGGGTGAAATATTTCGGCGAAATAAAAAAATTTCAAATCGTTCTAAAAAAATTATTTTTGGCTACTGGGCTCAATTACAATCATTCTTGGTGAATACACCACACCCCAAAATCCTAACCATTTTCGAGAAAAAAATTCCTAATCGAAAATGTATTTATGGCCAGAAATGTTGCTCGAAAATTTCATGCGATCTTTAAATGTCATAACTCCTGAACAGATTGGAGGATTTTAATGTTTCAAACGGCAAACAACGCGTATTTAGGCGAAGAATATGCAGGAATTTTAAGAATATTCGAAAAGTTGTTCTTTAACCCCGTAAAGTGTGAAAAACCAAATAAAAATGGCCTAATTTTCAAACGTCCATAATTTCTACAATAGTGAATGTTTCTCAATGAAATTTAATATGGAAGTAGAGCTCATGGGTACCTACGAAAAAGTACTAGACAAAATTTTCGTAGGACGTCAAACAAATTTATTAAAAATGAAAAACGAGCAACGACAATTACAACCCGTCTTTTATAGCCAACAACCCAGATCACGACGAGTTCCTAAAAGAAACCTTACTTCACACCGACGATAACAATATGAACCCTACACTAAATGCTCCAATATCATCAAACGAAATAACCAGTATCCTCTCAACAACAAAAAACTCTGCACCAGGACCTGACAATATCCAAAATAAACTATTAAAGTCCCTCCCGAAACTCGGAATAGACCACCTACTCAAGATCTATAACTGTATCTGGACTTACATATAAAGTCTTCCCTTCTAACTGGAGAAAAGCCATAGTGGTACCTATTCTCAAGCCAAACAAAAATAAACATAAACCAGAAAGCTACCGACCAATTGCTCTCACAAATACTATGTGCAAACTATTAGAAAAAATTATTAATAAAAGACTCCGGTGGCATCTAGAAGCTAACAGCATTCTAACGCCAACTCAGTATGGTTTTCGGCAGTATCGTTCCACAATAGACGTCTTAACCAACATTGAAGCAGACATATGTGATGCCTTCCAGAGAAGCGAACATCTCGTTGCTATATGTCTTGACATTGAAAAAGCATACGACATGATCTGGAAGCCCAAAATAATTAAAACCCTCTCCAAGATAAATGTCAACGGGCATATGCTAGCCTTCATAGCGAATTTTCTGATAGACAGGTCAATCCAAGTCAGAACAAATGGATCAACATCAAATCCCATAAAAATACAGAACGGAGTTCCCCAAGGATCGGTCATAAGCGTCACCCTCTTTCTAATTGGGATCAACGACATTATAAAAAACCTAAAAGCTCCAATAAAATCCTACCTATACGCCGATGACCTCACAATAATCTGCCACGGTAAAAACCTAAATACAATATATAATCTCCTGCAAACATCCTTAAACCATCTTCAGGAATGGTCCAACAAATCGGGTCTCATTTTCTCTCCCCAAAAAACACAATGCATCCTCTTCACCAGGAAAACAAAAAACCAGACTGAACTAAAACTAACTATGGGAGAAACTGAACTAAAATTTGTGGATCACATTAAACTTCTAGGACTCATCCTGGACAAGAAACTGACGTGGGTCCCACACATGCGATACTTAAGAGACTCCTGCACAAAAAGACTAAATATAATTAAAGTACTTGCCAATAATAGCTGGGGGGCTGACCAGGAAATATTGTTGCAAACATACCGAGCGTTGATACGAGCAAAAATTGACTACGGTTCAACTGTCTTCAACTCAGCAAAGAAACGCACTTTAAAAATAATCGATCCAATTCACCATACGGCACTGAGAATTTCTACAGGCGTATACCACACCTGCCCAATAGCAAGCATTCTGCTCGAGGCCAATGAAATGGCCCTCGAACAAAGAAGGAAATATTTAACACTGAAATACGCCTCAAAAATTTCCGCCACTCCGAACAACCCGACCTTCAACCGTATCTTCTCTGAAAGATTCAATGAATTATACTCCAAAAACCAAAGTTCCCACTACCGCTCCGTATCAGACTCAACAAAATCTTGAAACCTCCCATCGAATGGGCTCCTACCATTGAACGCAAACAAAGTAAAATAGCTCCTTGGACTATTAAGACACCACCCATTAACTTGAGCCTAGCGGACCTGCCAAAAAATCAAATAGACCGAACAACACATAAAGCCAAATTCCTAAATCTAAAAAACAACTTCTCCCACTGTAACTAAATCTACACCGACGCTTCCAAATCTGATTCAGGAGCAGGATTCAGCATCGTCACCGAAAATATGACTATAAAACAAAGTCTCCCCAAATTGGTTTCAATCTTTACCGCTGAGGCATATGCAATACTTGAAACCCTGAAACATGCCAGCATCAACAACCTTAAAAACGTTGCCATTTTTTCGGACTCGATGAGCGTGATGAAAGCCCTAGAAACCTCAAACAGCAACAATAGCCATGAGATCATAACGAAAATACAAGAAGCATACACAGAATTAGACAAAAATTACAACACCGATATAAATATTATTTGGATTCCCTCACATCAAGGCATACCGGGAAACGAGGAAGCAGACGGGGCAGCAAAAGAAGCAACAATCCTATCACCAACCGAAACTACCGTTCCAATACCGTATCAAGACCTCATAAACCATATGAAAAAAACTACAAAAGAAGAATGGAACAGAATGTGGACCACAACAAAAAGAACAAAAATACATGATATAATACAAAACTTCTACCAACCAATTCCTACCTGCAATTTAAATAGGAAAGAAAAATCCATATTGTCTCGACTAAGGTCAGGTCACACAAAGATAACACACGAACACCTAATAAGAAAAACCGATCAACCGTACTGCAGCCACTGCCCCACTGAAACCCTCACAGTAGACCACATCCTATACCAGTGCAGAAGAACCGAACCCCAAAGACAGAAATATGGGATAAAACCGGACACAGCCCTTACAGCTCAGGCCCACATAAGTGACACTCTAAAATTTCTCAAAGAAACAAATATGTATAATCAAATATAGCGCGCAAGCACGCATCCGCCACCAATGACCTCGCAGTCGACGCGGCGTAAAAAAAAAAAAACACAAAGAAGAAGAAAGAACTCACATGTATTTACGTACACACTCAGCTGGCTGCCCATCAATACTAATTCAGTGCCTAATTTCTCAACTAACCGCCATCCATGAGAAGAGGCCGCTAAAATCAGCTCCGAATTTTCAGGTCGGTATGGCAGTCAGATTCGGCCGCGAAAGTCCATAAGGTGAAAGCACAGACGAGATATATGAATAGACGTTTCACCTTATGGACTTTCGCGGCCGAATCTGACTGTCATACCGACCTGAAAATTCGTAGCTGATTTTAGCGGCCTCTTCTCAGAAACTAGGCACTGAATTAGTATTGATGGGCAGCCAGTTGAGTGTGTACGTAAATACATGTGAGTTGATTATGGGAGGGATTGGAAAAGACAATGGAGTATTATCAGACGGCAGACCCGTGCCGAAAGGGAACTGCCCCACCACTCACACACACTAATGCCAACCACCTTGTATATGAGTTCTGGCGTTTCGTATAGCTTCGTAGATTCGAGAAAGGCGGCGAATGTCAGTCTATCCTTCTTGCTCTCAACACAGCTGAAATTCGATCTCGCATATTCTCGAGCCGAGATTCTCGACT